CAGAGGTACTCACTAAAAATAAAAATTATCTTGTTTCGTATTATAACTGTTCCTGGACCATTCATCGAAATTATAATTATTATCACCAAGTGCAAAGACAGTTACACATTACAAATAAAGGTATATGCTATTTAGTGATATAGACTCCAAAAGATAAAGTAGTTATGAGAATTTCAAGAAACGATGAATGGGAAAGTAATTTAAATATTTTAAAATCATTTTACAGTGAACAATTTCTGACAAATATTTTATCATGATTGAAAATAAAACAATATTTATGCAACTGGTGTTTTATTTGCCATTGTTTACAGACATTATCTTCTCTACCAGCTGTCAAATTATTTTGTCCACAATTATGTGCTCTAGACAGTGGAAACTATATTTGTACATAAAGGATGTTTGATTAGGTAGCTAGTAGAGCAGATGAATTATAAAGCAGTATCATACTGATGTGTGAATAAAACAAGTGCTGGACAGTTATTTATTGCTAATTCATGTCACTAGTATTATTATACTATAAACTAGATACACTATTATACTATATACATATCAATTTTTATACCAAACTACACTTTATGGGTACCTTCAGAATAAAACTGTTCAAGTTCTCTTATAAGTGGATACTGTAAGTTAGTCAAAGTACCTATAACTTGAAATACTACATCTGCATGCGGCAACAAAGCATATGGAATAAGATCGAATATACTGAATGTGTTTATTCTTCTTATTGCACGTTCAACATGAATCGTAGCTTGTGCAATACATTCTGTTTGTCCTACCTGTTCAGCAGTGAACTGTTATGTTGTAAGAAATGATGGAATGTTAATATTGACACCAGAAGGCATTAAGTCTTTTATTAAAAAACCTTTATCTTCCAATACTAAATCTCCTACTTCAAGCTGATTGAGTATTCCACAATCCTTAATAATTTTTTTGTCTGACCCAGGATAGAAACTTGACATATAAGTAAGTGCTCCATTAGGAGATACACCAATTAACTTTTTGCAGGTATTTCTGTATTTGTATGAGCTATATGTTAGTTTTCATGTCGCTATACTTGACCGACATACAGATGTATATACTTCAGTACAATCTATGATTATCCTATAATTTGTAAAACTACTGAAAATATTTTCTTGAAATAAATGTATCCATGTTGTTATAACATTTGATACTGGACCCTGTGATACATTAAATCGAACAGCTAAATCGTCATGAGGGAAATTTTGTCTTGGCTTAGTAAAAGTCATGAATAACTGATCTATTTTTCTCATTTTTTTAACTTTCCATTTATAATAATAATATATATCAATGTCCTTCAACAGGTTGAATAAAGAAAAAAATATTTTCTCTGATGGTAAGCCTGTATACACCAGTACTAGCCTGTCATTTCCTTTCACAACATCAAAAGAAAACCTATCAGTGAGATGCATAAGGTTCGCTGTAGCTAGCTCCAGATCCTGCCAAAGATAATAGTTTTCAGCATCTAGTGATGCATTTGACATCGAACCTTTTGTATGAGGTTCATCAGTTTGTACTGAGGTGGATGGTTGTGGCTCGCTTTCAGATCTGTGAACACACTGAATTTGCACATATGTGAATGAAATTGATATTGTAGGACTAACCTTATATCTACATCAATATTAAAAGGTTTATCAATGGTCTTTTTACGGGTTCTTCTTTCTGGTGATGGAAAGTTTAATTGCTTCTCCCTATTATACCTAAACAGTGTAGGTCCATTTTCTTTTTTACACATCAACAAAATGACAACTACATAGGTATGCACCAAGACCTGGTTCAACTGTTTTCCTGCAATCAAATGAAACAATACATGTATTACTTTTATTGTATTCAATTGTACGTTTCGCATGTTCCTAACAAATGATAATTCCAGTATGGTCTTTATGGTGTTACCTTGTAAGTTTTATCCAATGATTCCTTGTTTTTGGATCTTTGGGAAACCTGAACATCTTACGTGTTTCTCTAACATTATACTGCTTACAGTCGGGTGTCCAGCATTGCACCATTTTCTGTAATAAATAGTAACAATAAGACAAAAGTTCAATTTGAAAATATCCTATCAAAGAACGGTAGCTTATATGAATAGCAATGATATCTAAATACAGCATTTTTCATAAGCAAGATACCCACACATTAGCGGATCGCTTAGTTACATACCTGCTTGTAAACTAACGACCTTATTTTCAACAAACATTTTTTTTAAACTCCACTTTAACCACTTGAAAAGGAAGAAGTTTTCTCAAGGTGTTTATTGTTTACTTTTTTGATAGTTTTACGGATTTCCTTACTATGATATTTAGGAATTAACTTTCAGAATCTTAATTTTTCTTTTCATTATGTTCATTATCACAATAGGGAATTATTGAATTTTAATTTTAAAGAAAACAGTATTACATTTTATTTTCCAGGTTAGAAAAAATTACCTATGACAATGACATTGACATTACAAAACAGAAAACATATGAATCAAATTCAAGCGGATAACCAAATGGAAATGGTATTTACCATTTTGGGTTGGTGTTTACCAATCCGTTCAACCGAGTGTAGTTATCAGTTTGGTTATAAGATCCGTGACGTCACGAATTAGCTGTTATAGACGAAAAAGCACCGATTATGAAGTGATAATAAAAATAATCAGAGATTATATACGCGCTTTTCTAAAATAAACAACTTGCAACAAAACCGCGGTTAAAACCAACGCGTTCAAGCGATCGTGTAACTGACGTCATCAACCCGTGTGTCATCTTGAACCATATTATAACCGCGGCACATAACACAGAAATTTTGGTTATTCGCTTGGATTTGATAATACACTGAAGACAGTATAGTCCAGTGCTATCCATAGACACGGCAGATTTATGTCAGCGTCTAGCGTCATTTTTTTCACATCACATGATTGCCAAACATACGTGACGTTGCTGGCTCCTCATATAAATCTAAGTCTGTGATACAATTTTATAGAGAGCATTAATGCTACATAGAAGATTTTATACCGTCATGTACAGTATTAACAACAACACATGCGACGTTGCCGACATCTCACATAAATCTGAGTCTGTTACACAATTTTATTCAGGATATTTTCAATGCTATATGGAAGATAACAGAAAACATGTAACAGGTGGTAACGGATAACAGGTAACAGGTGGTAACAGATAAAAGATAACAGATGATTTCAGATAACAGAGATGCAGTATGTTTTTCTTCTGAACCTTTCCAGATTGGTAACTAGATATGAGTGAGATTATAACAGCTTGTATTATTGACGTTGCTATTTTAATATACAAAAAAGCACTTATTCGTCAAAATAGCGCAAAATATTAATACCACATTCTGTTAGGTCTCCTATATACCACTAAATTTCTATATAAAAAAGTATAGCAATCTCAGATTTATTCGTGGAGCTGGCAACGTTGCGAGGTATTAATGCACAATCTAGTAACCGTGTTGCACCCTCAAAAAATGACCGCTGACAACCACACAAGTCACCGTGTTGCGTGTTGACATTGAATAGCATGGAATTAAATCTTCTTCAGTGTACATAATCAAATCCAAGCGAATAACCATAATTTCTGTGTTATGTGCCGCGGTTATAATATGGTTCAAGATGACACATGGGTTGATGACGTCAGTTACACGAATCGCTTGAACGCGTTGGTTTTAACCGCGGTTTTGTTGCAATTTGTTTATTTTAGAAAAGCGCGTATATAATCTCTGATTATTTTTATTATCACTTAATAATCGGTGCTTTTTCGTCTACAACTGTATATGGAAAGTTTAAATAAGAAACCTTTCATAATATTCATGAAAGAAATGTTTTTTCAGATTTTTTTTTTAATGATGGAACCATGGCCTCTTAATTTTTCCGCATGTCAAAGAAAACATTTATTGATTCAGCAGAAATGATGAAAAAAGAAATTAGCAAAACCGTATACAGGTGGATATCATGTAGTGAGTTTATATGGCCATATTTTAATATTCTTGTGGTATATGGCTACACAGGATTCTTTGTTAAGCATAGGAACTACATTTAGTGTCCCCAACAACCGTAATGAGTATAACTAATAAGGTGCTCCACTTTATGGTAAAACTGAAGTCAGACTGTATCATTTTCCTCAAAAATCAAGCTGAAGTACAATAACAATATCCAATACCTGGCAAAATTCCAACTTGTCACATTTCAAATAATAACCAGAAATATAAAACTACTCTTGAGTTGGGTAAATACCACAATTTTGCGGTGATAACAATAACATATAACAGCTGATTCGTGACGTCACGGATCTTATAACCAAATTGATAATCACACTCGGTTGAACCGATCGGTAAATACCAACCCAAAATGGTAAATACCATTTCCATTTGGTTATCCGCTTGAAATTGATTTATGTTTTATGGAAAAGCGGCTTGATTTTTGACAAATGACAGTTTGGAGTTGACAGGAATGACCAGATGTTATCCTATTACACTACTCCCAGGAAAACTGTCAGGTGGTACCTGAAAGTGTTTTTCCATTTCGTGGACATATGCCTATGGAATGCAACACATTTGTACAACAAATTAAATCGAAAAAGGCTGTCATTTCTTCAGTTTAGAGAGATTATTGTAATTGAGTTCCTGAAACAAGCCCAGGAAAAAGCCAAAACTACCCCAGGGAACCAGCATTATCCAAAAAAACAGGACAAACGGAGAAGATGTAGAGTATGCTCGGCAAACAAAAAGAAATCACAGACTTTTTACGTTTGTGAGATTTGTAAGGATAAAGACGGACAAATGATTGGCCTTTGCGTGGACAATTGTTTCCAGGAATACCACGAAGGCTCTAACTATCTTCTCGAGTGTTTTTTTGGTCCTATGTTTTTCACCAAAGGATTTGATTGTTTCTGTTATGTTTTTTGATATTTAGAATTACTCTCTTTGTATTTTGATACAAATATATTTTGTACTTTGCATATATACTCTTTTGCGATGTCTCATATATGAGACACTTGGTTTATTCTTCGCTCGATCACAAGCTAGGTCGTGTCATAGACCGGCGTCTCATATATGAGTCAGATCAAAAATGCTCCGAAATTTCTCAGAAAGTGTATTCTTAGCTTATAATCATTAATATGTACGTGAAACTCGGTTTATAAATAATAATATCGCAATATAAGAAGTTAGTCTGTGGCGACATACACAATTTTAACCCGTGGTAGCGAACGTGTTAAAGGAATGAACAACTCTGTATGACAGATCCAAAGAAAATAATACAAACCCTTACAGCTACTAACACAAGAAAAAAATTCACTCATTTTTGAACGATATCTACTTCTGTGATTTTCAATAGCCCTTACAAAGATGGGGCTAACAACAACTTATTAACGAACGAACACTTTTCCTACATATTTAAATTGTGTCATTTTTTCTGACTAGATGAAAAAGACGAAATAATGATATGATACGATAAGTTATTGAAATTTAAAATTCTTTGCAATTATCTAAAAGTTAACAGTTGGTATAGAAAATATGGACTGCTAAAAATTAATTACCAATTTCACATTAGTGCTCAATTGGAAGTTACATAGCAGTTGTCCATGGTTAATTGTTTCTTGATCAGACAAACACAAGCAAACTATATTTATTTTATATTTACCTATATTTCTACCTATCAATTTCTCAAAAAAGAAAAGATGTTTTAATTTTTTTTCTTGGAATGTTATATTTATTTTGATTTTGCTTTATTGTCTATTAAATTTTGTTATTGTAATATGTATGTATAGTATGTAAATTGATTTCTATAATGCCCCAATTGTATTTTTTAAGCGTTGGAAGCATTTAACTATACTGCTGTCAACAGTATGAGATACATCTTACCTGGTGTTTCATTCGAAAACATCAATTGTTAGCACTGAAATCTGTTAAACTATAAATTCTCAATAATAGATACCTTATAATTGTACATCAATTTTTCAGTTTGTACATATCAATTGTTAGCTATAAAATCTGATGAACTGTATTTTTATAACAATAAACATATATAACTGTATGCTATTTTTTTATTTCATTTATCCTTTATGGTTACTATACTTTCAGTTTAGCAAAAAATTCATCAATCAGCTACTTTTAGAATGTAAGAGTTCACTAAATAAAAAATGAAATTCAAATCTTATCAGGATACAGTCATACTTTATTCTGTGAATTTTTAGTCACATTTATTAAAGAACCTTGAAGGTCGAGTGCTATTTGATGATTAATGTACTGTCTGTGAAAAACAAGAGTTCACCAAATTTGATATCGCATACTCATCATATAAACCAAAATTTAAACATTAATTTTAACACTCGACGAATTCAAAAAATGTAACTAATGGAACTTTTCGAGCATTAAACTTGAGACTTCTTAAACCTTGAATCGCTTATAACTCAAAAATAGCCAATTTTAGAGAAAAAATAATGAAAATCATTTCTGTTCAAAATAATTTACAAGTACCTGACAGAAACATATTTGAGAAAAAAGAAAAAACATATTTTATGTAAATTCTTTATTTTCTCATACATTCCATAAGGAGGCGGGCCTGGTACTCCAACAGCCTGACATGGCTGTCTTGCTGACTTTTAAAAAATTTTATCAGAGCATCCATATTATCTGAAAATACAATTTTATTAGATAAATTATTTTCAACTTAACATTAATTAAAACCTACAATTTTCAAGTCGCCTTCTATCATGTTGATGATTTGAATATTGTGTAGGATCTCTTTTAGGATTTGTTTTTTTACCATTACCTGAAATAAACATAAAAAATCATTTTTAGTACGATTATCAAAAAATAAATAGAAAAAATCAATTAACAGACAAAACTTGATACGGTGATTATTAATATAGCATACAAATAACATTGTAACATCTTAACATTAATTAAAACCTACAATTTTCAAGTCGCCTTCTATCATGTTGATGATTTGAATATTGTGTAGGATCTCTTTTAGGATTTGTTTTTTTACCATTACCTAAAATAAACATAAAAAATCATTTATAGTACGATTATCAAAAAATAAATAGAAAAAATCAATTAACAGACAAAACTTGATACGGTGATTATTAATATAGCATACAAATAACATTGTAACATCTTAACATTAATTAAAACTTACAATTTTCAAGTCGCCTTCTATCTTGTTGACGACCATACGGATGACTTGAATATCGTTTACCATTTCTTTTAGAATTTGTTTTTTTAGCATCACCTGAAATAAACATAAAAAACCATTTTTAGTACGATTATCAAAAAATAAATAGAAAAAATCAATTAACAGACAAAACTTGGTATGGTGATTATTAATATAGCATACAAATAACATTATAACAGTATTTGATACTATGACCCTAAAACTGAAATTCAAACTTTACAGTGCTTATTTAAACGTTTTAAAAAATATTTGATTTTTCTTTTTAGTTGTGATGAAAAGTACAATTTTAGAAATTTGTATCTATTGGAAGAGAGTCCCAGAAAATTACTAAACATATTAAATTATATCTTTTAATCACAAAACATTTAAAAAGTTATTTGTATAAATTATATATACCTTTCCTCTACAATGTTCACAACCACATAACGCAATCATCCAATTCTTGAACAGAACATATTATAAATTTTAAGTCATTTGGTATTAGGTTCTTTACTCTCTATAAATTTAAAATGTAAAAACTATATAACAATATTAAAGTCAATGACGAGAAACCAAAAATATCAAGCTTGAAGCTTTAAAATTCAGTCAAATTTTGTTTATAGATACTTTAAGAACAGAATGCTTGTTTATATATATATATATATATATATATATATATATATATAATCTTAAAACAATTACAAAACCACCGACAATTAAACTAATAACAATTTCAAACATAATAGATAATATTTGCTTGAAATTCATTAATATTAGAAATAATAGATTGTACTTACGTTGATCTTCTTGATCGCCCATTGTGTAATAACCTCATAACAAAAAGGCGCCAATAATAAGGGATATATACATGGCCGTCCAAATAACAAAATTTAGGAGGGCATGTTTCATTGTACAGGATCAAAAGAGCTGAGAACTAGCGAACCCGACTAGGTTAATGCGGAAAAAAGGTAGAAGAGTAGATTTGCTTCCACCTCCCCAAAATATAGCCATGTACCCCTTTTTTATTGGATAAACTGTACGTTTAGGAAGAACTGATATCATCAAGAATTTGTACAATAAAAACGATAGTAATTGATCGACTTGGATTCTCTGATTACAGACCCAATCAACTAACTTTATATGTAGGCACTTTAAATAGCAAAGAGAGTTTTTAAAATGCTTGGACCCCTAAACTTCAGGCCCACAAAATACAGAATTTATTGATTACTTGGTCGTTGAACTATTTATTATAAATGGGTTCTTTGTGTCGAATCTGACATTTTTTTCTGTGCCATAAACCCTCAACGGCAGAATGTTCTTTTACAGACAATCTTTAACTTTAAGGCGTCGGACAGAAGGTATCACTTCATAAGTATGTTCAACAATACCTCTCGATTTTTCTTGATCTATTTTCAAATACAACACACGATACAATACATATACGACCAAAAACGGATTTACAAACTCATACTTTCAGTTCGTTGCTAATGGAACATGGATGAGAAACTTAGTCAAATGATAACTTCAAATGAATTATGTAATTCTATAGAAATAAAACTACTATCTATTTTATTTTCCGCATAGTTATAAAAATGGTAAATTTCAAGCCGCTTGCCGATGTATGAACTCCAAATTAATATATGTATTTTTTTTAATTCGGCCAAATACACTAATTTCAATTTGTAATATTGACACCAATAACTTTAAATTTTAGAAATGTAATCGAAAACAATAACAAATATTTATAAAAGTATTCTTTATACATCTCATTTAATATGCATTTTTGGGTGATAAATATAATAACGTCGACTATTCGACTAACATTATTCAATTTTACGTTCCACTTTTTCAATTAAACTACAATAATAAGTCACGTTCTACACAATTTTTTTTATTAGAAATCAAATACAAAATACATAATTAAATCTTGCGCATCATCCCCTTAACCCCGCTGCTTGGCCGCTAATCTAACGCTGTGTTGCACGATTAATTTGATTTATACCCTAGAAAGAAACTTACCTCTCAACTATTCAAAATACTCACACATCACTTTTTATCCAAGAATAAATATCTTATTAAAAATATTTGATTTAAAAGCTAAAGCTAAACCCTAATGGACGCCCATGGATCTAAACCCTGCTTTGGAAATGACATCAGATCCTACGGACCGCTTTGACAGACAATGATGAATAGAAGAAGAAGACATCGGATCATTTCAGTAAACACATTCTAGATGGCGTATATCAACTTATTCTTTCAAATATTTATCAAAAGAATTATTATATTACAATAGTATCCAGGTAATTAACAAAAGAAATAAGTAGAACAATGCAAAAGTACCCATTGCAAGAAACCGATACGGCCATGTTATAAAGAATGAACTCATGATTCCCTTATTTGCAAAGGCGGTTAAATTCATATTTTTGAAAAATGTTAAAGGTGCTACCATCTCTTAGTCAAAAGCTGTAGTAATATATTTGAAATATATTTGTTTCCAAATTACCATTACATTCATAAAAATCAGCTCACTATTTCATACTTATTTTCAAATTAATTAAAGCTATTGCGTATTTCATTACAAAGTAACTATATTTTTAGTTTTACTAAAACCACATAAATACAACGCTACACCAACTATGATGCCGACCTTCATAGACTGCACCGGCTAACTCCCGTTAATACTGTCAAAAACACTGAAAAAGAACTACAGTGTTGCCAGAGTCAACATTGTAAATTTCGGCATTAGTATGGAAAAACTTGGCTATTTTCCACTAGCCCGTGGATTATTGGAGGGGAAGGAGAGGGGTGTCGTATTATCATAAGACAGGGGGTATTGATTATATAGATTGTGTGAAAAAAGGAAAACAAAAACTAAACAGCCTGATAAAATATAACATATAACAAATGTAAAGAAAAACATTTGACTATAAAAATCAATACAATATTACCAATAAATGTCAAACAACAGAACATTTATTACGCAATCATTTTAAAGAAATATCACAGGAAACTAAAAAATAAAAAGCATATGACTAAAGGCCATTTCTGTTTTGCATAAAAAAAAATGAGGTTTTTGAGTTACTTAAAATTAGTCACTGTCGGTATCGGATTCTTCTTGTTGCATTTCTGTTCTCTCTATACTATATAAATTATTTTAGTGTTTTTAAAGTATATTTCACAAAACTCGTCTATGCTGCAACATTTTGTTGTATTGTATCCACTTTGATAACTATCGCGAATAAAATTAAAAGTAAAATACGATTCTTTTTCTTTATTTTCATTATTTCCATATATAAAAATATCCACTCAACATCTGCATTACCATGTGACAGATGTTAAGATTATTAAACATACTTTGGAAATACACTTCACAAGTTATGTTCTTACTGTTTTTACCACCTACTACCATCAAAACGCGTTTCCGTTGAATAACAATTACCCACTGGTGGTTACCACTGTCGATTTGAAAGATACCTGTATTTAGATTTGGTTACTAACTATACTCAATTTTTTTTTAATAAAAATATCCATCACGTGTACCTAAATTAAAATATTCCAACACTTTTAACAAAAAATCCAATTCTGCCGCTACGCCGCTACTTCTGACAACATTGGGGACTAAGCTGATATTATAACAAATGACAGCTTGACTTTACCGCCAAAACTTCCATTTTGTTCAGTAAATGTGATCGTGAGCGTTGTGAGCACGAAAGCATTTATGTTTTGAACACGAAAGCTTGCAATTGCAAACATAAAATATAGCTGCAATTTTGTCACAATTTGCTTTTTGTTATATACATATATATATATACTTTCATTATTAGCTTTATATTATAGTCGGTAAGTATTTCAAAACTATATACAATCATCAACATGCCTAAAAAGAAGAGAGGAAACAACTGGTATGCCAAGAAACGTATCATCAAGAATCCTACAACTATTTCTATAAATGATTCGATGCAAGATGAACCCGAAATTGAACAAATTGCAGAGTCTATGACTGTAGAGCAACCACAGCCTGGTCCTTCCACAGCAACGTAAGTATTTATTTTATATTAACAAGTTTTTATAGACACCTCTTGAGAACCAATCTAACCTTAAAATTTACATATTTAGCACAAATATCTGCTTTAAATCGACGTGTAGTTTTAATTAATTTCTCTAATATATCGTTATCTAAGTAAACTGAAAAGTGATATAATGTGCATCAGCCTTATAAATTGCTCACTCACAAGTCAGTAAGGCTAATCGAAGGTACACATATTGATGTATTGTCAGATTGTTTGTATTTAAAACCAATATAAGATGACAAAAATGTCGAAAAATGAATGAAAAACAGAATATTAAAAATATCATATTGCTAGCATTAATCACAAGAAATTGGTCAAACCTTGTTTCGTATGAACCTTACTCTTCTAAGAAGATTGACCGTTCTTAATTATAAATGCTTATTAGAAAGTTTAACAGTCTAACATAATTAATTAATTTAGTATATCAACATAAGAATTAAAGTATTTTACAATTTACAAATAATTCAATTACAACAAAAAAAGAGATATGAGCTACAGTTAGCTATACATAGTCGTGCCATAAGTTCTGTCCCATGATAATCTCATGATAAAAATGAAACAAGATAAGATATATTTATATGAAAGATATTATTTATTCGACAACATTTTTAGAATTCATAATCAAACAGTTTTATTCAAAATGTCCCCCCTTGGCCTTCACACACTGCTTCAATCTCGCGGGCCACTCATCTATCACTGCACGCACAGCTTCCAAAGGAATAGCTGCCGCTGATCGGATCAAATCCGCTTTCAGGGACTCGATATTACGGTGGGCTTTGGAGCAGGCCAACTGCTCTAGCAGGTCCCACAACTTGTAGTCTAAAGGATTGAGGTCCGGACTCCCTGAGGGCCAATCTTCCGCAGCAATGAACTCTGGCACATTGCTTTCCAGCCAGCGCTGCGTACTCTTAGCCTTGTGAGCGGGGGCGGAATCCTGCTGGTAGACCCAGTGTTGGTTGGCAAACAATGTACCACTTAAAGGCTTGACGATAGGATCCAGTATGTCGCTCTGATAGTTTGCCGCTTTTGTTTTCACGCCCTGTTTACAGAAATGGAGCTGAGTGACCCCTTCGTAGGACACCCCCCACCAAACCATGACTGACGCAGGGTGGTGGCCTCTCTCAACTCTCGGAATGATCTCCGAAGCTTCCTGTGAACTCCTTGCATACACTTTGTCATTTTGTCGGTTGAATTTTTCTTCTATGGTGAAGATTTTCTCATCCGTGAACAAAATCTTTCGGAATCCCCCAGCTGCGTACCTCTCCAAGAGCTTCTTGGATCTTGTCGCCCTGATGTGTCGCAAGGTGGCCGTAAGTCGCTGGCCCGTACGTCTCCGGTAAGCCCCTAGCCCTAGGTCTTGTTTAATGATGCGCGACATCGTCCGGACAGGAATCTTCATTTCCCTGGATAAGATCTTCTGCTTCCGGAGTGGATTCCTTTGAATCCTGGCTTTTACGGCTTTGATGGCTGCTGGAGTCCTTACTTGACGAGGTCTTCCGCTTCTTGGCCTGTCATCAACAGAGGACGTCTCATTGTACCGCTGAATGGTCCTAGACACAAATTTACGCGATATTTGAAGGCCGCGTAAGAGTTCAAAAATCTGACTAGCACTGCGATTACACTTATGTAAAGCTATCACTGCAATACGGTTCTCTGCCTTGCCCCACTCCATCGTTATGCTTCGAGAGATCAATACAAACTGAGGTATATGTAATTACCCGAAAAGCGCTTAATCAACTGACACCACAATGTAAACAATCGGACAAGTATTAACAGGTCTACACTTGTTTGAAAACGAGGGACAGAACTTATGGCATGACTACGTATTTGTATAATAACAATTTATGATTAAAGCTTTTTTTTAATTATAATTTATTTTAAATACACCTTGTGTATATATACTCTATACAACTATTTACAACAAAGATCACTGTTTTAATAATATAGAACTTGATTCAAATTGCATAATTTATACAAATAACATAACCTTTAAAAAATCTCATGGAATTTATATTTTGAAAAAATTATGATCTTCATTGATCAGAACATGATAAATTACATGAGATGAGATTTGACACCTACTATTCTGCCACAATATTATAGTATTTCACATTATTTTATCCAAGTTCTACTTTACTTCTGACAAAATTATTGTTTTAAGCAAAATGTTTTTGTTTTTTTTTTGGTTGTTTAGATTCAATAGAAACATAATCACTATTAGTATGAAAACTATCTGATATATGAATATTTTGATTCTCTAACAAACTTCTTTTTTTGAGTTGTCTACAATTTTCAATATAATTAGGCAGCAGCAGTGGCCGCAGTAGTAGACTCTTCCGTCTCCTGATTAGTCGCCGTGCGCTGTGCGGGTTCGAGTCTCGTCCCAGAAGAAATTTTTCTCTTGGCTATGGATGTTGTGATTGTCCATAGGTGGTAGATGGTCTCTGAATATCGAACGTGGAGGTACCACCCGACGGTTCTCGTAGGCAGAGCCAGAATGTGTGCATGTTGCATGCACACGTGTTCCCTCGCCAGAGTCCATGTGGCGTCCCTCCTTTCGTATGTATCCCCCATAGCCCCACAGTACATAATGGGTGCTTAGGCCTTAAGCCTTCGTGGTAGTTGGAATATAAAAAAAATTGAATGCACATTCTAGCCACCAGTGGCAGTATCTCCATATTGCAGATTAAACATGTTGCTCTTTTATTTATTTTCGAGCCGGCTTTGGTATCAGTCTTCTTAAAATATTTCCATATGAGACCCTTTCCCTTTCTTTTTTTATTCGTCACTAACTTATTCAGAGACCAACGGTACTTCTCCAATTTCAGTACAGTCCGTTTTTTAATTAGAGAGTGTTCTAATAGAGCTGGATCAAATATGTAATAACACTTTCAGGGAACTTCGTTAATGTCCCTAGATTATACAAGCAATATTTTTTTAATTTTTTTACTGTTTCAAACATGCATTAACAGTATTTTAAACATGTTTTTTTTCTGCTAAATTTGAATATGTTAAACAAAAAAAAAAACACAGTTTTAAACAAGACAAATATAAATTTTGTTTCTTTAAAACATAGTTTTTCTTCAACCTTGATTTCTGATATTAATATATTGTATTAATTCATTTTAATTTATACCTTAATTTAGTCTTAATGTTTTGTAGACATACTCCAGGTCAAACACAGGAGTCAAACATCTCGGTAAAAGGGAAAAAACGTAAACATAAAAGGAAGTTATGTCTAAGCAAACGAAAAAAACATACAGTAATTCATACAGCTTCTCTACACAGTGATCACTCCTCTTCATCACTTACATCTTCTTCTACAATAGATCAACAAATGGTTATTCATAACACTACAGCAAGTTCAGACATTCCTATACAAACAACAACAAAGTAAGTGTATTAATTTAATATTTATTATCTTTTTCAATTAAATTGTATACCTAACATTAATTTTCGTTAACATTTGGTCTATACATCAGAATATAATTATATTTTTTCATACCAACAATATATTACATAACTAATGTGTGATATGACATGCATCATAATAGATAATTTTCATGTAATGTTACATATATTATTTGATTAATGATAATAATAAAATTGACTAAATAAGCAAAAAAGTACGCATATATAGAATCAAAAAATAACTATCAAGTTGTAAAACAGGAATTTGAAAAAAATGAAACAATTTGGGATGAATTAAAAGTTTCCATTTCTATTTTTGAAATAAATTAATTTTTCTCTCTATAAAGTAATACATATTTTTTTCTTTTGTATGCTTTTTACTTCTATCATCATATTTTCCATTATGCCATTAAATATTTACCTAACAATTTACTTGTTTATTTTGTATTTTCAGAGGAAAAATGAACAAAGGCAAAACACCATTGAAAAAATCTAAAAAACCAAACGAACCTCTGCAGTCAACACTTCCAGTAATATCACAACATCTAATACAATGCTCAGTAAGCCAATCAAATGAGGAGGTTTTTATTAACGAAGCAAGTAGAATTATAACTGCATTCCCCAATAATCACATTGCTATACCAGGTCCATCACGACTTTCAAATACAAGGTAAAGAATTCATTTATTTTTTAATATTAATTTAGATCCAAAATTAAATAATAAAATATAATTTAAATTAAATTCATAACTTAAAATTTCAATTCATATGTAGTAGACACTATCTTTATACAAAATTAGTCTGAGGTTTAGGATAGATAAATTATTTGTTCAACTGTCGTAATTTTGATACACATTATAGTATAATGAGTGAAATACTTCTACTACTACAACATCTAATCACAATCATGTGGCCAGTTATAATGACTTGCCTTCGTATTTCAAATTTAAAAAATTTACAAACAGCAAAGGGTTATGCGGATTCAAACGAAATATAAGATATTTAAGTAGATATACGTATCACTTGAGTTATCTATCCTATTGTCTGTTCGAATCCACTTTTCTATTTTAGTGGATTTTACCTATCATTTTATTTATTTGTTATACAGTGTGTCCCAAAAAAAGTGTGCAATATGCTACTAGCGGTTTCTAGAGCTTAAAATAGGAAAAAAAGTTTATATAAACATAGATCTACAAACATCTCATAAGGGCGTTACAGTCTTTTAAAAGGGCTCCCTGAAGATGGGTTTTCCTTAATATTTCCGAAACGTATTGAAATAAAGACCTAAAATTTGGTATTCTAGCCTTGGTTTTTATGTTGAATTCAAAAATATTAATAACTTTAGACAGTTTTATTTGTAAGCGTATATAACAGAGACGGACTCAGGTTGTTTAGCCCCAAAATTTTTGTGTGATTCTATTTTTGAAATTCAATTTTAGAATTTGAAAATTTAAGGTTTTTTACATAAAAAAGGTACTCTTATTAAATATCGATAAATTGTGCCGTTTTTGAATAAAATCAAACTGAAAAAATTGTCATATGATAGGAAATGTACTGCGAATTTAAATGAATTGTTGAGTAATTAGCCATGGCAGCAAAAAAACTAATTTAATAATTGGTAAATATTACATAACTACATATTTCTATTGCAACATAATTAACATTTAGGCAAAAACAAAAGAAATAAATTTTTTCTACGAACGAAATTGAAATTTATTTAAAAAAGAAGACATGCAGATTATATATACTAAAAACTAGCTTCACAATAAATGTTCAAATAAATTCCCATTTTGTTGGATACAGAGTCTCGCTCAACGAACTAATGATTGCGTAGCCCAAAAAATGGAAAACCTTCTGCTTATTTCATTTACAACCTAATGGATTCTTTGAAGTAAATCTTCTTAAGTATTAACTTCAGTCGAATAAACTAGGTCTTTTAAGACCCCCAAAAATAGAAATCCAATGAATTTAAGTCAGGTGAACGTGGCGGCTATGTTATAAGACCTCTTCGGCCTTACCACCTGTCTGGAAAATTGACATTCAACCAATTTCGAACATTGCGTCCAAAATGTGTAGAGGCGCCATCATGTTGATAAAACATATTTTCTGGAAATTGCTGGCGCACATCCAATGGTATTATATCCATAAGCTCATTCTGAAGAAAGTTCAGATACACCTCTAAATTAAGAAGATTGGGAAGTACAATAGGCCCAATTACTTGATCCCCAATTATTCCTGCCCATAAGTTCAATGAAAATCTATGTTGGAAAATTGTACGTCGAACAACTTTTGGATTTTCATCTGACCAGTGATGCATGCTATGGAAATTAAAAGCACCATTCCTAGTAAATATTGACTCATCCGACCATAATATTCTAGGAATAATATTTTCATTTGCTAATATCCACTGGCAAAACTCGTTTCATAGTAAAAAATCTGCCTCCGTTAAATGCTGCATCCGTTTAAAATGATAAGGATGTAATACTTGCATTCTTGTCTTTCTTCCTATCTAAAATTATTATTTTTAGAATAACTATCAAATAGGTATATGGGACACCTTGTATACCTTTCGCCACATGAATAAAATTCTTTCGGCTTATAGTAGTGTTTATAACCGATCGCATTGTTATGGTTAGATGTCAGCTTGATTTCGTGTGTCATTTTATTCGTTCACCATATTTGTTTCTTCAGGTTGCACCCATATCCGGATGTATAAGCATGTGTATTTGCTTTTGTAATTACATATGTACATTCATATCGGGCCTGATAAAGCCAACAAGCAAAAATACGTATCACTCGGGTTAAATAATCTATTTTTTGCTCGAATCTTCTTTCTTTATTTCCTTTTTTATTTATTATATATATATATATATATATATATATATATATATATATAACACAAAAAAATGGACAAAATCTGCAAAACAAAAATACCTATTGAAGAATAAAGTGGATTCGAGCAGATAATCAGATAGGTGACTCAAGAGATATATATTTTTGTTTATTAGCTTCTTCAAACCCGAAATAAATGCACCTCTGCATACAGATATAACCTGATGAATCAAAGTTGCAAAGAAAAAAAAAAGACACACAACATTCACAACAAAAACTAACCTACACTTTGTAGTATAAAATAGCTAAAAAACCTCGAATTTTCAAAGCGACATCTAACCACAATCATGCAGCCAATTATAACCACCTATTATGGTGCTCCAAGCCTAAAGGATCTACAAAGAGAAAATAATCATGTAGAGAAAGATATATAACAAATAAAAAGAAAGCGCGTTCGAACAGAAAATAGGATAAGTAACCTAAGTGATACATATTTTTGCATGTTGGCTTTATCAAGCTTGAAATGAATACACATATACAAGTATTAAAAGTAAATACCACAGCAGGTGGTTACAACCAGTCGCGTAATTGTGGTTAAATGGTGCCTTGAAAATAGGAAGTTCTTCAGCCATTTTATACTACAATGTGTAGGTTAACTTTTGTTGTGGACTTTGTATGTTATTTTTTCCTCTCCATCTTCATTTCCTTAAATTATACCTGCATGCGGATGTATAGGTACATGTATCTACTTTTTTTGTTGCATATATGCATTCATTTCGGGCCTAATGAAGCCAACAAGCAGAAATACATATTACTTGGGTTATGCTTGACTCAACTACTGCTTTCGGGAAAGTGACAAATTCGCTTAGAAACGGAAAGCGAGACAACTCCCGCACATCTACGGTCCTGAGAGCATAGTCTTCAGGACAGAGGACAAAATCGAGGTTTTCGGTGATGCTGTACAATGACAATTCTCTCCCTACTATGATCGTCATAATGATCTCGTCGAGGAGCAACAAATTGTAAGATCCGTCAGGAGATATTTTAAAGCCAACGACGTCAGTGATCCCGACGCCGCCATTAATGATTCTTCCTCGGAAGATTCTTTTTCGGAAAATTCTTCAGCTGAAGAATTGCACATCACATCAGCGGCTTCTCCCGAGATTCCTCATTACACACTAGCAGAGCTTCAAGGTCATATTTAAGACCTCAAAGTGCATAAAACGCCTGGGGAGGATCAAATCACTAATAAGGCGCTGAAGCTGGTTTTACAGATGTCTTTGACTTATCTCGTGGCTATTATCAATACCATGCTAAGGACCCACTACTTTCCATCGGCGTAGAAGACTACTGAAGTTATAATAATGCCAAAGTAGCTGGGTTCGATATTTTCAAAGGACTATCAACCCATTAGCCTGCTGTCTGCTCCGTCTAAGCTCTCTGAAAAGGTAGTTGTAATTCCTGACTTGCAATTTAGACATCAGTCTGAGCATAGTACAAAGTTACAAGCGGTTAGGTTTATGGAGCGAACAACCAAGTGCTTTACTTTTACCGAACGTACTAGCATCTTGCTTCTGGATGTCTCGAAGGTATTTGATAAGATATGGCACAAGGCCCTTCTCTATAAACTAATTCAAAAGAGCTTTCCATTTTAACTCCTAAAACTTTTGAAATTCTTCCTTGAAGGTAGGAAATTTCGGATAGAAATTAATAATTTCTTGTCGACAATACGGAACATCAGAGCCGGTACCCTCAGGGTTCAGTTGTATGGCCAATCTTTTACCCACTTTTTACGCATAATGTCCCTTGCCCTAACGACTGTAAAGTCTATCTATATGCTGATGACACTGCACTAATGGCCCAGTCGCGTACCGGAAATGTGGTTCACGACAGGTTACAAATTGCGGTGGATATTAGAATGGGCAGATCGGTGGATAATTAATTACTTGAAAACGCACGCTATCGTACTAAAAACCGTAGCGGCGCCTCGCCTGAGGTTTCAATGAATGGAGCCTGCTTACCATGAGGAAATTCTGCTAAATATCTCGGTGTCACTCTTGACAGAGAAATGACCTGACAGAATCACATTGAAGCGTTAAAAACTAAATTCCAAATTCCATTTCAGCACCTTTACCTTTTACTATGTAGAACCTCAAATTTAAGTTTGGTTAACAAAGTTTGGCTATATAAGATTATCATCAGACCATCAATCACTTACTCATGTGCAGCATGGTGTTTTCTTGCCAAAACGCACATGCGTAATCTGCAGGTTTTGCAGAACAGAACCTTACGAACCATCACTAACGCACCATGGTATATCTCCAACGACACCCTTCACACAGACCTCAACATCCCTTACCTAAGGGACTACATCAAACATCAGGCGCAATTACGTTATACTCAGACAGAATCACACAGCAACCCTCTGTTGCGTGAGTCAGTAGACTATACAATCAAGCAAGTTCACAAGCATACAAGACCGCAGCTCGCACTATGAGCAAAATCAAATCGTGCAATTTTAGACAACTTCCTAAATCAATTTTTGGATTAATTTAAAATAACCGAATACCAGTTAAGAATAGCAAGGCGTCCCTTAAACCGGCGCACTTCATCCTCTTTGCTCTTCTCCCTTCCTTCCTTTCTTTCTTCTTCCTTTCTTTCTTCCTGACTTCGTATGGTATCTGGACAATCAGATCTGATACACCTACTGACTCACGATACTTTAACAAAGAACAAAGGTCCTTCGGACCGCTCTGACGGACAATGACGAATAAAGGTTGAATTTTATTGTAAACTTCGTATATCATTTTTTTCCCTTTCAATCTTTGTTTCCTCAGATTGCACCTAAATCTAGATGTATGGGCATATGTATTCACTTTTTAAATTGCATATGTGTATTCCTTTCGGGTTTAATGAAGCCAGCAAACGGAAATACGTATCATTCGGGTTACCTATCATATTTTATAATCTAATCTGCTTTTCTTCTTTTTGCGGATTTTACCCATTATTTTTTCTATTTGATATATACCTTTCTCCGCATAATTCTTTTCTCTTTTTAGATTTTTAGGACTTAAAATACCTCAGTAGGTAATTATAACCAATCACGTGGTTGTGATGACAGCTCGCATTGAAAAGTCAAGCTTTTCTAGCCATTTTATACTACATTGTATACGTTGGCTCTTGTTGTGGACTTTATATATCATTTTTCCCCTATCCATCTTCGTTTCTTTAGGTTACACTCGCATCTGGATATATAAATATAGTTGTAGTCACCGTTGGTAATGGGTCAAAGTAAGAGTATCAATACCTCTTTATATATTCCCTATCTCCTTCATACATACACATGCAACTTTCTCCTGTATGTGAACATTTGTTCGATACACTCACAGACATACATTTTTTAATTTTGTGTCTCCGTCTCGAAAACTTTATAGTTATATATGCATATGCCCTTCAACCTATTTGACATCGATGTACAATTCAAGTTATCCTGTTATCAGTCTTCAATATAAAATTGTACAATGCCCGGAAATACGATCAATGGAGAAAACCGACAACTCATGCTAAATTTATTATAATGTTTCCATGAAAAAAATAAAAAAACACTCTCCTGTTACCCACTTCATATATATATATATACATATATATTCAATAAAACGCAAATAGCCATCTGTCACACTAAAATCGACCATTGCGAAGAGCGAAGTAGTCAATTATGGTGTAATAGATAGCACACTCTTAATTCAATACACCATACGTTCGAAATAAAGAACAGTCACAATGTTTTCATTCATTATCCAGAAAGAAAAAACTATACCTAGGCCATGCTAATGTGTAGCCAAAAAGCACGAAACTACTATCCATCATTTTCTGGATTTTGTTCGACTGGACGAAAACATTATGTTTATTATATTTGTAATTTTATTTTTATTTCAGTATTGTTCCTGTAGCAATCACGCCACAAAGGACATGTACTAATAGTTCAGAGATTGTTAACCATCCAACAAATATATGGGCATTGTCACAACAAGACATTGAAGAAACTACCTCTTTGCTAACAATGAGTACTTCCACAAGGATGGAAATTGATATCCCATTACAACACATTGAACCGATAGAAACGTCATCCTTACCAACTTTAAACCAACAACAGAGTGATGACAATATCACTATGACAATGGGACACGATGAACTTAATGACATATTAGCTAACCTTAATATAGACAATTTACTAGAAAATACCAATAATATAATAACCGAAAATGTAACTGAAACTATTCATCGAAGAGGGAATCATTACATGGCGGCAACTAATCATTACACAGGTCTATATACATTGGGAACTTTCACTTTTACCTGTTCTCACTGTAGAGCCTTACATTTTTATGTGAAAAAAATTCCAGAAATGTTTATTCAAATTGTTGTAAGGATGGTGCAGTACATCTGCCTCCATTTGATTCATATCCTGAACAATTAAGAGTACTATTTCAAGATCGAGAATTTATGGAAAACGTGCGTTATTATAACAATAGTTTCGCATTCGCCAGCCTAGCTACCAATACTATAAATCCGCCTGGTCGAGGACCTTATGTATTCAAGGTAAACAGTAAAAATAACATTATGTATGGATCAAAAATAAAATTCCACAATGTAACCTGACAAATCATATCTCAGATCGAATTCATTTTTTTTTTCTAAGCAGTACCTATGGAAGTGACTTTATAAAATTTTAAAGTCTTACAATGAACACTTTACTCTGGAACGGCACTCAAAATATAAATTTTTGACCAAAATGTAAATGTTAGTATGTTAACAATTTTTCTTTTTTTTTCTACTCCTTCCTGTCAATTCAAAGCAATATGTACAATAATATATAATCATCTAAATAGAATTATCCAACGAAGTCAAATATTACCTTCAAATTGCAATATAATTTATTCGACAAATAGTTTAAATAATTCTTCTAGAAATTTTTTACTGATTTATTATTAGCTAGACATTTAAAATAGCTTACAACATTAAACATTTACAAAATTAGTATAAACCTTAATTCTAAAAATTCTGAGCTATATCGGGTTCAATTTTATTACTCTATGGAACATGATTCTTTTTGAAAGTTTACGCTCTTAGGTCAAACGATTCACTTTGGACACACGTTTACAATCTCAAAACAGGTGTAGCAAGAATTGAAGAATTGACAAAGTATTAAAATTTATATTTTGATTTACAAACGCATATCGTTACCCTAATTGTAATACCACGTATTATCTATTTTGTCGTTTTACAGAAAATGATAAAAAACTGTTTTACGGCGGCCGTATATAATTTATTCTTATAAATTATGTAACGTCTTTCTACTTTACGGTTAAAATATACTTAGTTATCATTTTTAAAGATTCCATATTTTTTTGTGAAAAATATGTTTGATGCATGTTATTGCACTTAACTGTTTGATGATGATACTTAGTGTTTAGGTTTATTATAATGAAAATAGATGTTTCATTATTCAAACAATATACCAAACAGGGCTTTATTGAACATTGTTGTTGAACAATATTTAAATGAAACTAATACAGAGATTTCAAAGGAAACAGTAGAAAAAGATGACAAGGATGTTTGTCTTCCTACTCATAAGGCAGGTTCTCATAGAAACTGTGTACTTCATCTGCTAGAGTAGATTTCAGATCTTGCAAATGGTCATATTTCTTGTTTGATATTTTTAATCCATCTATATAACGTCTTGGTGGTGTATCATACATGACTTCTTTAAAATTCCTTGAGGTAGGTCGGTGAGCTCATCTTAAAACTGCAGATTAATTTGAATTTTGCCTTTTGATTGATAGTGGATCTCTCTTAAATTAGTTACTGTTGGGTCATGTGCTTTTTTTCCTGGACTGATACTATGATATACCATTTGGTCTTTAATATCATAATTTCTGAAATCCGTATGGTTCATGTATTTAACTTCGTACGGTTCTGGTTTTAATCGCGCTTCTCTTGTTACTTTCACGTAGTCCGTGGGTAGTTCAATTTCCCGATTATGAAACTTCACATATTTCCTTCTGGTTTCTCTCTTTTCCATCAAACTTGCTACATATATCTATCTGTTTTTGCTCCCAAGACATATCAGTCCAAAATTTTTTAAAAATCGACAAGCGCTCTTCATGAGTTATAATATTACAGTGTCTCTTTTTGTATTTCAAGCACTTCATGGAGGAGCAAGCTGGACCTAAGCTTCTGCATTGCGTTTCGCTATTGTGTAGTATTTGACCAGTTTTACTTCGACTATATCCTAGATAATCCTTGCCTTCCATTCCGTTACGTTTTGTCTTTTCCCTAGCCCAATGAATATTTTCAGGTTTCCTTTTTCTCTTGGATTTCTTCTGTCGTTCAAGTTCTTGTCCATCGGTACAATTTTCGTCTTCAGTATCAATAAAGTCTGAATCAAATTCGTCAAGTTCATTTTCTTTTTCCATTTCATACTCCCGATCAGCATCCTTTGAGACAGACTGGTCTTGTCTTCA